ATGATAACAGTATCATTCTAAAACATTTTTGCATTTATCTTTCTCTAGTTGTCATCCTGTGTGCTACTGTGCATGTTGGCTGAATGCTATCTATGATTGTGTACCCAAAAAAACACCATAATGTTTCTATGAATAAACTCTGGTCTGTGAATGATTATGATTGCAACTGCTTCTGTATGTATTTATGAAGCCAAGAAGTGGATATGAGCTGAAAATTTGCTCTGTAGTTTCCCAAGTTTCTATGGGTTCGATAGCTAGTTACGCTGACATCTGGATCAGTGGTGGACAGCACACACTTTCAGTTACTGATTGTTACAATGGCTCCTAGACTGTTGTACTATTTCCTTTATAAAAAATTGTGTATAACAAACTAACAATTTTTTTTTTTTTTGTTTTCTCTTGATTAGGTTTTGTCTGAGGATTTGCCCAATGCGATTGCAAAAATTTCATTTCCAAAGTCAATGCGCTGGAACTCTCAGGTAAAGTAATTTGAATTGTATGCGGAATTTATATGGATACTTTATAGTGGGCCAGGGATGAGATGGAAAATTCGTCCTGCATACCCTGCTTTATTGCCATTCTTATAAATGTACTTTTATATTGTGGTGCATGCAAATTCATTCGGTCCTACCTGTCATTGTGATTTCATGTATTTATGTATACTATTATAGGAAGGGGTTTATGTATCTGCACATTCTCTTAATCCCAAAAGATCACATCTCAACATTAAGGAGCATAACTATATCAGGACATTTTTGTCTTTTGATATGATTTCATAAATTGTAAAACTGCTCTATTATCTCACCCAAACTACCCACTAACCCAAAATTCTCAGACTTCTCTTACACTTTATTTGTTTTAGTATTATTAAGAGGAGTGAGCCAATATGCCCAGAGCATTTGTATGGCTTCTAGTATGAAAATATCTGAATTGAAGTCTATATGATAAAAATACCGTTTGGCTGATTTGTTATTTGTGTGCTTCTTGTTATGTATCTAGGTTATGTTTAGCAGACCTATTCGTTGGATTTTGGCACTGCATGGAGATGTAGTTGTGCCCTTTACTTTTGCTGAAGTTTTGAGGTAATAATGATTAGTTGCATTTCTCTCTGAAATCTGATTGTATAGTTGAGTTGTCAGTTACATGGCTTGGCTCAGCTGGACTTGTTTTGGATTACATGTGTAACTGTTGCAGCAATAGATTTTCCTTGAGTATTGTAAATTGTATACTTATGTGAAATTCATTTGTAAAAGCTTACATGAAATTCGTGTGGGTCCAGTCAATGGAGGATATTTGCCGCCAATAAGGTTGTTTTGGAAGATTTGTGTGGTAGTATTGAAATACAATTCTGTATATTTGTATATGCTTATGTTATCTACCAAGTGTTTGTCAATGTCCATTTATTGTAATTTGATAAGTCCTGTTTGATGTCAATCAGTGCTTGCTTTCTTATGTTTTCAATTTATGTATTTTACTAATAATACATTCCCAAATCTGCATTTTGCATAATTATACCATTGTAATTTTTCTTAATAGAACAGTGTTATTTTGGCTGTTTTAATTCTTTAATTTTTTTTTTTACAGTGGAAACCTGTCTTATGGTCTTCGTAACACTTCTTCGGCTACTGTTGTGGTATGTGGTGAACTTACAGTTTCTATCATGTCCATTTCCACAATCATTGTATTCAACTTTATTGTTGGAGTGGATTGTTGTCTGATTTACATATTATGACACCTATATATGAATTTTGAGAATAGTTCTCCATTTACCTTTAAACAGATTGATCTAACAATGCCTGCTTTTCAGTATAATTTTTTAGAATGAATTTCAGTAGTATTTATATCCTTGTCAGAGGACACAAAGTTGTATATATGCTTTACAAATGACACATTTCATTAAAGACTAATTTTTGATGCAAAGGAAAAGCACAGTGGTAGTTTTTAAAAAAAAAGTGATTCTTGGTTCTTTTGCTTTGGAAAGTTCTCTGTTCTTTTTCCTTTTCCTTCCTTTACCATTCTCTCGCTCTATAATTAAGTACCAGATGATCCACTGTCAATTTTCCCCTAGTTTTCATGGAATTTTGTTCTACATATAATGCTGTAAACTTAAAGATTGTTGTTTTAAGCGTTTGACTTTAGATTAACCTTTTCAACCATGGGCTCTTATTTAAGTTTTTGCAATAAGTGACCACCAACAGTCAATTTCTTTTCCAGTTCAGGTTTCTGGTGTACCTTGTCTTTTGGTCATTATAAACAAATGTTGATTCTCATAAAAGATAAAAATAAAAAATTCTCTTTATATTCCTCGTTGATTGATTGTATCTCAACATTGTACGTTGTTCTTGTTATTGCTTTCAAGGGAATGTTTATTTCAGTATACCAATTTATATTTGAAAGTCTTCCCACTGGACTTCTAAGTACTTCTGTGTTACTGCGTTACAGTGTTTTTTCTCATTATTCTCTCTGTATAAGATGCACGAGTACCTGTAATTATATAGCTCCAGGAACTGTCACAGGTTGAAAGTGCTGAATCCTATGCCGGTACAATGAGGAATGCTGGGATCAATATTGAAATGGAGGTATCAATATCATATGATAGTTTGATACCTTTTTTCTTCTTTGGAATAGCTCTCTCACAAGAATAATTAAACATCATTATTAGTGGCTTAATTACTGAAACAAGTACTCTACTTGCAGGAACGTAAGAAAACAGTATTGGAGGGCTCTAACGCATTAGCCAGAAGTGTAAACGGACAAGTGTTTATTCAGGAAGGCTTACTTAATGAGGTTGGTAAACTGTTGTCTTTGGTGGTCAAGAATAAAAATGTTTTTTTCTTTTTAACTATCTGCCAACATAATATTATAGGTTGTAAATCTCGTTGAGGCACCTGTACCAGTCCTTGGGGAGTTTAAAAGGTCTTTCTTGGAGCTTCCTAGTGATCTTCTGACTATGGTAAGCTGTTTAATCTTTGTGGACTACTTAGATATGGTCTTTTCACCTGACAGTATTTTGTTATTTGATGCTTTTTAGCTGCATGCCATGTATCGATGAATTTAAAGTTTCTGATTTGAGTTTTTTGTTTGTTCAGATGTATAACTAATCTTTTCTTCCTTTGTGCATGCATGGCATGTCTTGGTAATTTGAAGATCAGTGAACTTTTTTTGGTGCAGAGATTTACTTTATAAAAAAAAACTTTTATTTTTTAGTTACGTTAGGCGTTGTCTAGGGAACTAAAGTACAATCATATAGTATTTATCACCAGTTGTGACTTTACTACTGCATATAACAAGAAAAATATTGAAATGGCGTGATTCTAGCTTGATTGTTTCCGTAATTGAAATGGAGCAATCAAGAAGAAAGGATAGGCCTTATCGTGTTTAAATTTGGTAAAAATGCCATGCTTTCCTAAAAACACTTCCTGTTTCCACTAGTACGGGAGATGGCATCACAACTTTTCTCTTGGGTGACACTATCCTGCTAGGTTGAGCATGTATTGTTTTTGGAACAGCTAGTAGTTTATGCTACTTTGTAACTTAATCAGCGCCTCCCTCTCAGTTGGCAATCTACATTGGTGTGTAATGTTATCCCACACTGAAATGTTCTATCGTTGTCTGCTACGTGGGATTGGAATGTTCCTGCAGTTGACACATTTCTCGCTGCAGTACAGAAATATCATCCTTTATTAAGTCACCAATTTTTCAATAGCTGAAGTTTTGACTGAGGTTGACAGCTTAGTAAGCATGTTTGCTACATGTAGATCCCAGCTATTGGATGTTGGATAAGAACAATAAATATTAGGGCATCATTTTACATGTTGGTTTGGAGCCATACAATTGCTCCATCATGAAGTCTATGTAAAGCTTTTCAATATTTGGAAGGGGAAACAAGGTAGAATTCGGATGCTTGCCATGGGGAAAGCAAGGTGAAAATTGGCTAGAAAATGAACACTAGCCTCTGGCTCAATTGGATATCTGGTTGTGAAAATTTATCTCAGTTCTGGTGGGATTTTTTTCGATTTGATTGGATAGAATCAATTGATGTTTGGTTCCTTTCCAGGATATACTTTTCCATATCTAAATGGCAGGGATGATGTAAGATTTTGCTGTAATTTTAGAATTGTTTGTTTTTATTTACTGTTATGGGTGATCCATGCAGGTTATGCAGAAGCATCAGAAGTATATTGCTGTGAGGGATGAAAATGGAAGTCTTTTGCCATACTTCATTGCTGTGAGACATTCTTTCCAGTCATATATGAGTTTTGACGTAATTTTTTGCTTCATAGTGGTGGTTAATATGTTCATAATTTGTTTGGTGACGGGGTTTAATTTTAGGTGGCAAATGGAGCAATCGATGAGACCGTGGTAAAAAAAGGAAATGAGGCTGTACTGAGGTAAGATCCGGATGGAATCCTGTTCTCCAAATAGTGCAGGAGGTAGATCTGGATAGAATCCTGTTCTCCTACACTTTCCAGATGTGGCTGCTCTCTGGATTATATGCTGGCATATTCTCTTCTTCAATTCAAGTTCTTTGACTTTTATTGATCGTGAACAATGGGCTGAGCATTTCACTATCTATGCAGAGCTCGCTATGAAGATGCTAAATTCTTCTATGAAATGGATACACGGAAACAGTTTTCAGAATTTAGAAGTCAACTTAAAGGGATTCTTTTCCATGTAAGCCATTTTATTTTTAATTGTTTAGGGAGAGATTATTTTTCCTTTTCATGTTGGTAAGAACAAGGAATGAGACAATTGCCAAACACCGTTGGCACAACAAAGAAAAAATAGGACTTTAAAAAAAATTTATGAAAGATTTCTGATAACAGCCCTTTTATTTTGACAATGTGAAACAAAATAGGAGAAGTTAGGAACAATGTTGGACAAGGTGCTGCGCGTTCAGAATATGGTTAACAAACTAAGCTTGGCCCTTGGAATGGATGACAACACAAATAAAACTGTCCAGAGTGCTGCATCACTTGCTATGGCAGATCTGGCTACGGCGGTTGTCACAGAATTTACTTCCCTTTCAGGAGTAATGGCTCGTCATTATGCTCTTAGAGATGGCTATTCAGAGCAGGTATTGGTATCTTAGTGTTAGTTATTTTTGTTCTGTGTTTTTTTTCACTCGAGTCTCCTGTGGGAATGCTAGTAAACACACTGTAGTTCTCGCTCAGAATTAACCATGCTTCTTACACCTCCCCTCTCTCCTCACTCCCCACGCTTGTTTTTCATATGTTGCAGGTTGCAGAGGCTTTGTTTGAGATCACGCTTCCGAGATTTTCTGGAGACATACTTCCTAAAACTGATGCAGGCATAGTTCTATCCATTGCTGACAGGTGATGCTGATAACTGATGTAATAGGTTCACTTTATTTTGCATTGAAGCATCATAGTTTGTCTATAGTCTACACACACAAATATATACTAGGAAGTAGGGTATAATGCATGGATTATTTGTTTTTGCTGGAGGATGATTAAATGTGGAGACAGGTGAAGTTATTAGTGTTAAATTGTTAATATTCAATATCCTTTTCTTCATTCTATTTATGTATGCTAAAAAAAGCACAAAGAAGTTAGGATTTGTTACAAAGAAGTTAGGATTTTTTTTTAACTCCCTCATTTATGCAGAGGGTAAGTTGTTTCTGCATATGGTATGGGTTTACCCTACCATATCCTTTCAGGTTAAGTTGCTTGATTGCGCGCTTATTCTTTTAAGGTCGAACTCTACTTGCAAATTGCTTGACTTGATATGTCTTATGCAGATTAGATAGCCTTGTCGGCTTATTTTCTGCTGGTTGTCAGCCCAGTTCTGCTAATGACCCATTTGGCCTGAGACGAATCTCTTATGCTCTTGTAAGTTCTATGGTCATTCTGATGCTTCGAGGCTCAGCTAACTAAGCTTAAACAAAGTAATTTTTTTTCTCTAGGTCCAGGTGTTGGTGGAACAAGATAAGCATCTGGACTTACGACAAGCATTGGAACTTGCTGCAGATGTCCAACCCCTTAAAGTATATCCAAGTACTGTAAATGATGTATGAACAAAAGTCCTTCCTTAGTTTCTAAATAAGATTGGCAATTAGATTTTTGTTTTGCCCATAATCACCACTTCAAATCAAAATATCAGTTCCCATGAGTCACAATGTATCCTACCATCTAAAAGTTATTTTACAGCACTAAGTTTTCTGATCAAGTGGTGATACGCATCATACCTGTTCTCTTACTCTTTTTTTTTTAAGTCATCATACGTATCTGTACAAGCATGCTCTTTCTCTATCTCTTTATAGCTGCACTTGCTTGTATGTGTCTCGTTTTGCTTTCCCTTTGGATTCATTAGTGCTTTTGTTATTTTGTTATTTTGTTTAACTCATTATGGGCATCAACTGATAATGATTGCATCTTTTTCTTTGTCCCTGTACTTAGGCACATCAATTTGTGACAAGGAGATTAGAGCAATATCTGGTATGTGTAACTTCAACATAATGAAGTTCATCAACTAGAAACTCTTGTTATTCTTCCTATTCTTTTATTCCTACAGATTTATTTAATTTGTTTATCTGTTCATTTTTATGGGTAATCTATATGTGGATGAATTGTCCACTCAGATACCATGGATAGATAGAACTCATCCTTGAATACCAGGCCACAAGTAAAGAGTGCCTTGTGTTTATACACTACACCATACATCTGTATGCTAGCATAGTACTAGGCCATCATTGTTGAATAAATTGTACAAAATGGCATTGCAGAAGTCACTGAATGAAAAAGGCGGTGCTAACATAGTGCTATACCATCATTCCTGATTAAAATAGAAGAATGTGTGTGTCAAGTCTCGCTACATTAGCCTTTTGTTTTCTTCATTTTATGTTCCATTATATGATTTTTTTATTTTTTATTTTTTTCATTTGCCTATTATAGTTTAAATCCGATTATCTTTTATTCTGATGTATGTTTTTGTTGGGCTACTTGCATGTTCCTTGATTTTAACACATTGGTTATATCATGTTTACAGGTTGATAAGGGAATAAGTTCAGAAGTGGTTCGTTCTGTCCTTGCAGAGCGTGCAAACTTGCCTTGCCTGGCAGCAAGGTCTGCATGTAAAGTAAGTTGCTTCATTTATTACTGCTGATCCTGCTGCGAAGTGTTGTGTGAATATGTTGACAATGCTTTTAGATTTCTGTGAGAAATAATTACTCGATTGTGCGACCTTGAAATTGACGATGCTCCATAATCATATACTTATAATATCACTACATCTTAATTGCAGATGGAAGCCTTGTCAAAAGGCTCGCTTTTCCCAAAGGTTGTTGAAGCATATTCTCGTCCGACAAGAATTGTCCGAGGAAAGGATGTAGACCCTCATATTGAGGTACTCTTTCTCTTTAATGAAGATACTTTCTGTCTTCAGGGCCTGAAATTGTTTGGTTGCTTGGTAGCATATCCATGTCCTTGGAAAAGGTCTTAGTTTTCATTAAATTCATGCACAACAATATAAGTGAAAGCTGGTCAGGGGAAACATTATAACCCTAGCAACCATAAATCTCAAATGGGGACAGGCAAAGCAATGAACCCTGTGAGCTTTTGATCCCTCTACTTTGCTGCGACCAACTATCTTCCACCTTATGTTAATTACTATAGTAATATGATTCCAAAAACTAGGTCAAAACTGTGATGTGGCAATGAGGTTTGTTATTTCCATGTCCAAGGTGGGTGTCACATCCTTCTCTCCCTTGCCAAGGTAGTGCTTAGAAACAAATACTAAATCCCTTGCTAGTGCACTACTCTTAAAAAATGTGGAACATAAGTATTTTCACTTTTGCAGTTTGATAAGTAGACAAGAGTTTAATTTCGATATAAGGGATAAATGAAAAGGTCGGGTGTGTTTACATATAAGATGGCACAATGGAAAGATAAACAGGTCATTAAAACAGAAACAAACAGAGGTGTAATTAATCTTTGTATTCAAGTAGTTGTAGCTGCTGTATGGTTTTCCTTTATGCGTTTATGATTGCTCTGCAAAGTCCAATCTTTCAATATTATCCCGACCAATATAATGGCACGTTCTTGGTTTTTTTTTGTCTGAGCACGTTTTTGTACTTGTTAGGTGGATGAGGCAGCTTTTGAGACAGACGAAGAGAAAGCTTTATGGAGTTCTTTCTTGTCAGTTAGAAACAAAATATGTCACGGTACTTCTATCTTTCTCCAATAGATTTCCAATCTGTTTTAACTTTGGTAGCATATCAAGTAACTTTGAACTCCTTTTCTCTGGCTCCTAGGTATTGAGATTGATGAGTTTGTTGAAATATCATCACAACTACTACAACCCCTTGAAGAGTTCTTTAATCATGTGTTTGTAATGGTGGTATGCTTCCTTTACCATTTTCTTGTACAACTTGTATTTTCACAGCTAGTACCATATGTTTACTCGTATGCATGCCTAACGGAAAGAAAGACTAGATTACACAACATATCCATGCGCAGTTATGAGAAAGAGTAAATTAGACAAACATCCCTTCAGGTTAGTGCATCTTGACTTAAACCTTGCACTTCCAGAAATTACAAGCTGACTGCTTGAGGTTTGGTTTTGGTTACATAAACAATCCCTTTAGTAGTTTAATTAATCACGCACTAATTCTAGAAAGAAAGAAAAAAGTCAATTAATTTCCAAAAGTACCCTGTGGGAATATTGTATAAGATTATATTTTGTTTCCAAAAGTACCATGAGACAAGAAAACAAAAACCAATGTTTCGTTTACTTAATGCGCAGGAAGAAGAAAGAGTCCGCAAGAACAGGCTTGCTTTGCTGAAGAAAATTTCTGACCTTCCAAGTGGAATAGCAGACCTCTCGATTTTGCCTGGATTTTAAGTTTTGTCTTGATTGTAGTCATTATAGCAAAGGAATATCATTTTTTTGCATAAGAGAATAATATGAGGGAGAGGAGGAGAACGAACAGTGTCATGGGTGTATTTGCCTTCCAGCTTGTGATGTTAGTTTGCATAATTTCTGAGTTATATTTATCAAATATCAAGGCTTGTTAAAGACATGTTTTTAGTGTAAATTGAATGAGTTGGAAATTCATTGTAAAGAACAGAAAAGAAGTGTTACATGGCAAATCCATAAAAATTGAGTAGCTGTCATGCTGTGACATTATAAATGGCTTTAATTTGACAGAGAATTTTTTTCTTCTTTTTTCGTTTTCCCCATACGCATTAGTGTCTTATGCAACTAGCAATTAGGACAATGGTCTATGTGAAAAGTTTTGGGATGGAAGACTTTACCCTCTTGAATTTTAAAACAATGTCTAAATGTGTTGGTTTTTTCTTTCGGTGCCAATTTCTTTGTAAAAAACTCCACAAAAGTATGGATTGAATACGCCCTCATCGTGTGTTTTAATTCCTTTGTATTCGAATATTACAATTGTATTACCAAAACAAAGTAATTTTGAGTTGATAAAAAACGGGTTAGCTCTTCCAGTTCACAATTAAATCAACAAAATCTCAGCCTAAAGTAGAGACAAATGTTACTAGATCATATCGTCATATTATTAGAAATTTAGAAGTTATAGACTGGAGATGTTTTGTCATTTTAAACTTTGTGTGTGGGTATTATATCAAATTATTGCTTTTAATCACGAAGACAGACAAGAAATTGACAACTTATCCATGCGCTAAAAAGAAAGACAGAGACAACGACAACTTCGTACATAAAACACCCCAATAATACAATTTCACCCCCACAGAACGGCCCAGATGATGCCACGTTGCTGCCACATTAGACATTCTTGATAAGCCCTAAATACTTCTATCCTCCTAATGGCAGACTTGTAGATGTCCAAACAAATCCCAAAGCCGAAAACTAAAATAAAAATAGACATGAAACTTATCCTTATGTTCACATTTTGGGATTGGACTTAGGCTTCGTTTGGTTCATGGGAAAGGAGGTTTGGGGATGGTAAATAATTGTTTTCCCATGTTTAGTAATTTCAAACATGAAAATGGTTGTCTGACACATGAGAAAGTAGGGGGGAAATGTAACTCTCCTCCCATTTGAGTTTCATTTTCCATTCCCATGAAAAACGTTGGAAAAATGAATCAGCATTAATTGCGCATTTTATATGGCCATTTTGTCCCGTCATTTTCTCTCTAGCTTTGCATTGCTTTGTCTTTGAATTTTGATGTTTTTGGGTCTTTGGTTTTTTCTTTTATCATAATGTTTTAGGACTTGGTTGTGTGCAAAATATTAGGGTTGTAGTGTAATTAGGGCTTTAGCCTTTCTCTAATATAAATATATATTTTTACACTAAGGAATGAGAAATGAAATATTTTTTTCCCACCTTTGGTAATACTGGGAAAGTAATCGGGAGATATCACTTTATTTCCTTTCCCATTTTTGTTTTGAGTAAGAATGGAAAACAAAGTTTGTATAAATTTTCAATTACACCCATATTAAATCAAATAAAAAAAGAATGCATTTAATGATATATTATAATTCTAAATTGTTAATAGGGACAAAATGATTATGAAATTTTTTTATTTAATATTGGCTCATTTTCCCAAACTTTCTCATGAGGAGGGAAAACAAAACCTAAGTTGGGAGGATGACTTCACTTTTCCCTTACTTTCCCATGGGCCAGACAATGATTTCCTATACCTGGACTTACCAAACACGGAAAAACAATTGATTTTTCATCTTCGAGTCTCCTTTCCTATAAACCAAACGGTCAAGTAACACGTTGTTGTGAAAGTAACATTTTCTTAAATCATTTCACATTGTTAACCAATCTACTTAACTTAAACAAAAGAAAAACATATTGTGTTGGGATTTATAGTTTCACTAGAAGAGTATATCACATACTCATGGATAGAGCTTGACTTTCCTTATCCTTTCGCACCAAATTCCAAACGAAAAATAATAATAATCTGAAAGTATAAAATAAAAATATATGAAAGGATATAATTTGTACCATTGTGGAGTTATTCTCTTAGTTCTGATGTTACATTCACTCAAATATCTTTAGAAGACTATTATTTCCATTCTTAAAAAAGCTTTGTACATTTTTTTTTTGTTCCCTAACAACAATATTGAGTAAAGTGGAATCAAACATTTCACATGTGCAAAAGTGAATGTTCCTAAACACTTGCGTTACATACCGTCTTACATTTCTTATGAGTGTACTGTGTATGTATGAATATGTGAAGGTAATTTAAAGTGACATAACTTCTCTTTTCCTATTGCCATCAAGATTTTTTTTTTTGTGTACTTCGTTTTGGGTCTAGTGGTCTTTTTCTTCTTAATTTTGGAAGAATATCAAGTTCAAATCCCTGTGATAAAAAAAAACTATACATTAGTTTCTGATTAAAAAACATATGCTAGTTTTTTTTGGTGTGTGTGTGTGTGGTTATAATCGCAAATTATATGCAAATAAATATTAGAGATGAGAAAATGAAAAGTTATACAACTTAATAGAAAATGTTGGATATATATTAGGTATGTGTACTAAATAATATTATATTGAGAGACCACAGGACACCACGAGCTTCATAGAACAAACGCCAACAATAAATTGAGCATTTCAGATTAGGTTCCCACACACTCTCTATCTCTGCTCTTGTGAGTTGCGGCTAGGGTTTTTCTCTCTCTCTCCTCTTCTTCTCTCCTTCTCTAACCCCTAAAGATTCAATCTTTCAGATCTGTTTCTCTCTATAATCTCGAAAGCATCTATATCTCAATACATAAATGGAGATATTGGTAAGGTAGGGTCTCTCTGTCGTCTTTGACAGCAAGAATCTCAAGAAGTTAGGGTTTCTGTGGTGGGTATATTGAGAAAATGGCGACCATGAACCCATTTGATTTGTTGGGTGACGATGATGCCGAGGACCCGTCGCAGCTACTCGCAGCCCAGCAACAGAAACTGGCTGCGGCACCCAAGAAGGCTCTTCCGGCTCAGAACAAGTCGGGGGCTCAGGGTCAAGAGACCAAGCCGGCTAAGCTGCCTTCCAAGCCTGCACCTCCTGCTCAGGCTGGTGAGATTTTTGGTTTTTGAGCTCTTGCTCTATGTGTAGTTCTAAGTGAATGAGTTGTGGGCTATTTTCTTTGTATTCTGCTTGGCTATTTGGTTTTTGTGAGGTTCTTTGGGTCTTTGCTTATAGACTGGAATTGATAGTACTGATAAAGTTGTGATTGGAGATGGGTTGTCTTCTGTTTGTTTTCATTTGGGTTTTATGGAATCCTGGCTTCTCTGTTATTTTCTTCATTTAGTTGTTTGTGGAACTGACATTTTTTTGTGTCCTGGCTGTTTATTTAGATTTGGGTTTTTGTTTTTGTTTTTGTTTTTCGTTTTTTCGTTTTTCGTTTTCCTTGAAGTTGAATGCTGTGTGTCCTTAAATGTTCTCAAGAGAGAGGGAAAATATAAATTGGATTGGTATTTGTTACATACATTGTAGGCATAAGAATGTATACACCCACGCCTGCACATAGATTTTGTACACAAATATATATGTCCGTGTACATGTTTGCACATGTATTCTAGTATACGCCTATTAATTGGCATATGTACAATACACGCATGCATATTTTATTAGATGAATAATGGTACTTTCATTTAGAAATGCATGCTTTGCATGCAAGTATACACAAAAGATATCATTCAGATTAACAGTTTTGTAAGTATGTGTGTGAATTGATTAATAGTGTGTTTTACTTTTGTTCCTCTTGTTAGATATAGTCTTGTGGTACCAAGTGGTACTGGTGTTTTTGTCACGATTACATCTAGGAAAATATTGTATTATGTTTGCTTTGGAAAATACATTTTGAACCTCCTTGAATCCCTTAAAAGGTAAAACCATGGAAATTTTTTGTTTTGTTTTGTTGTGTCCTCTTTTTTATGAAATGGAAGTGGGGAAAAATAACAATGTGGAAAATTGTATTTCACTATTTTGTTTGCTAAAGGATATTCCGTTTTCAAATGGTTCTTTTAGAGACAATGACTACATGTTGCTTTTTCACTGCTATATATGATTTATATAGTGTTCGCCCTTAAGCTGGTGTTGAAATGTACCAGGTGAAACCTTTCCTGTGCCTATTATGAAAATTTAATTTTTTTTTTTGTATCATGTACTTCGTTATCTCGAGGGCATGTTCTGTGATGTTTTTCTTGAAGTTCCCCTTTCTTACTGTTGTTTACTTAATTGTTTCTTTTTGAACAGTGAGGGAATCAAGGAATGAAGCTGGTGGAGGTCGTGGAGGTGGACGTGGACGTGGATATGGATATAGCCGTGGACGCGGTGGTGGTGGGTACAATCGTGAATCACCCAATAATGAAATCACATTCACCAACAGTGGAGCACCTGCTGGCCAAGGTGCTTTTGAAGATGGTGATGGAAATCAGTCTGAAAGGCGTGGCTATGGTGGACCTCGTGGTCCTTACCGTGGTGGTCGCCGCGGTGGTTTCGGAAATGGGGAAGTAGGTGACGGGGAACGCCCTCGCAGGGTATTTGAACGTCGTAGCGGAACTGGGCGCGGGTAAATATTAATTTTGTAGTCCATTTTAATCTGCTATATACTTTCACTTCTGGAAAGGAGAATCTTTGTTTAATATACTTTTAACTTCTTTTATTCTGTTTGCAGAAGTGAAATCAAACGTGAAGGTTCTGGGCGTGGCAACTGGGGATCAGAAACAGATGAACTTTCACAGTAACTACATCTCTTTTACAACCCAATTGCATTATCACTTTAAAATTTCTTTTCCTACCTAGGTTTCTCTTGTTAAGATGCTTTCTGTTTTTGTTAGTCTCTCCCTGATGTTTATCATTCTTCATATTTAGGGTGACCGAAGAAGTTGCCAATGTAACTGAAAGGAATTTGGGTGATGAGAAGCCTGTGGGAGAGGTAGATGCAGCAGATGGAAACAAGGAGACACCTGCTAACGAACCGGAAGAAAAGGAACCCGAGGATAAGGTGAGTGGCTTCCTTCTTCATTCTAAATTTTCCACTGGAATTTCTTTTGATAACTAACTCAAAGATGAATAGTATCTGTAAATTAGATATTTTGTTGTTCTTCAAGATCTCTTACCATGATTTATCACAGGTCAATGTCTCATTTTCCAGTATCTGTAAATTAGAGTGTTGTCTTGCCCGCTTATCAACAACTTAGCATATTATCCTAGCTTTTAAGCTTTGTGTTTACCCAGCTTATTATTTTGTCATGGTTTGTGAATAGGAAATGACTCTTGAAGAGTATGAGAAGGTGCTCGAGGAGAAGAGGAAAGCCCTGCAGGCACTTAAGACTTCTGAGGAAAGAAAGGTTGACACTAAGGAATTTGCATCTTTGCAACAGCTATCAAACAAGAAGGGCAATGATGATATCTTCATTAAATTGGTGAGATCTGATTATCCTTTTTATGTCTCTAAGTTCATGTTCATCTTGTGGAACTTAACATCTCAATAACTGTCCATGCCTTTTGACCTTTTCTTCTTTACAGGGCTCTGACAAGGATAAGAAGAAAGAGGCTGCTGAGAAGGAAGAAAAGTCCAAAAAGGTACGATAGCCTAACCCTTTTTTTTGGTCGAAACGATAGCCTAACCTTGCCTGGAATTTACATCCTATCTATTTATTTATTCTCTATCTTGGCACCTTATAGGCCTATGGCCTTCTAGGAGGTCTATTCTTGCTTTCATTTACCTGTTCTGCCTTTTTTTGTTGCCACTTTGGCGGTGGAGGTTGTCTAATCCACCGGCCTTGTGGAAACTATTGCACTGGCCTTGTAATGTGTGTGCTGGCCTTAATGGACCAATGCCCATGCTTTAAAGACGTTATGGTGCAGACTTATCTACCATGCTTGCTAGAAATACCTTTCTGCTGTCTGTTTCTTAGATGGAAAAATGATGTAGATTTATGCGCCTCTTTCTATTACACATATTGATTGAGATTTTGTCTTAGCACGCCAAGTACTTACAGGAATGACCCATTTGTTGGCCTCTGTTACATCTGCTCTTGATTCCCACCCTTTAGGAGTCTGCACTGCACATCTGTGTTTGCATATTTAAGTGCTAGCAATGCCGATATTTTTATGTTGGACTGTTACACCCCCTCTTGATTATCACCCTTGATGAGTTTGCACTGCATCTGTGTTTGCATATATGTTAGCTTCCTTTTTTCATTCCAAATAGAATCCAGTTTCCATCCTACTTTTGCAAGGGGTTTTCTCCAATGGAAGGTGAGTGCTGTAGGATTGTTGTTGGATGTGAGTACCAATCTATTAGTGGTTTCACCAATTGATTGTTACTCGAATCCTACAACAATACCATAGCACTCATCCTGCATTGGAGGAATAGTCTTTCTTGTAATACATAGTTGAATGGAACATGGGGTGACTTTATTCGTCTCCCATCCCTTACTGTCTGTTCACCAGAATCTTTAGTTAATGCTTTATTCCTATCATTAGAAGAGTTCTTATTCGCAATAGGAACATAAACAAAATAATGTTGGGAGATGAGCTGATATCCAATTCCTTAGTCCTTTAGCAATCTTTGCAACAGATGCTTGTAGTGTGCCTGTTTAGAATTTTGTTGAATATCTTGTGGTGCAGAAACAACCATGATGTCTAAAATTGATTGGATGTCTTAGGTAGTGTGGCTTGAATCACTTACAAAGTTCAAAAATTCTTATTTTTGTTTGCCTTTTGCAATATAATTTCTGAATTTGATTAAAAAGTATTACTAAAAATTCCTTTCCCAATTTTCTGTTATGTTTTGCTCTGCATGACACAAGACATTGTTTTTCACTTCCACCCTATGACTGCAGAAAAGCATTTCTGTTACTTGTGTGACATTGTGGTAAATGTTTTTGGTGATTTGCTTTGTAATGTTAACTGAGATTCTTTCTCATCTAATAAAATGTATTTCTTGTTTTCTTCATGGGTGATTCTGAACTCTTTTTTTGTTTTTTTGTTTTTTTGGTTTGGTGGTCCTAGTCTGTCAGCATCAATGAGTTCTTAAAGCCTGCTGAAGGAGAAAGGTTCTACAACCCAGGTGGGCGTGGCCGAGGGCGTGGTCGTGGTCCCAGGGGAGGGTTTAGCAACAACTACTCTCACGGCAGTGCTGCAGCACCATCCATTGAAGATCCTGGGCAGTTCCCAACCTTGGGGGGCAAGTGAGATTCTTAAGAACCCGACTTACAGTCTCGATGACATTCAATTTTTGGGTTCTTTCCTTTCTTCTGAAGCAGGAAATTGACTAGAATAATTGGATTTCCTGTATTAATTTTTTTTATAAAAAAATTTATGACTTAAAATTGTAAATTTCAGTTTCGTATGTACCCCTAGTAGTTTTTGTTCTCTTTTTTTCTTTTTCTATCCTTATGCAATGTTCTGGTTTTCTGACTTTGGGGCATGTGAAAGGATTTATTCGTTACCAGATATAATCCTTGACCAGTTTTGTTTTCAATGGATGTTCGGCTCTTTTTAGTTTGTCTGGATTCTGGAACCAAGCAGTACTTGGTTCCCTTGGAGTCGAGTTTTCACAATTGTCTTCTCTTGATGACATGGAAAATCATAAATGTTTTCATCTATATGTCCTGAAAGTGTTTTTGATGTCTCTTTTGAAGTATGCCCCCCTAGGCATGTTGATCTCATTTAGATTCCTTTCACTGCTCCGTTCCCACTGTCAAGCTCCAAAAGTTATCTACTGAATTAATGTTCTAAGGTCTAGGCAAGACACAACGTAACGAGGTGGATTGAACTCCCAGGGAGGATCAAATCTGGCTTTGTCTTATCCCTAATTCCTTGGAAATTAGGTACTTGGTTTTGAAGGGGTGTGTAGGATAAAGTTAACTTGCAAGTACTTTTCTGAGTAACTCTTTATTGTAAAATGTTTCACTAAATATACATTTGAGTACCATTAAGAGTAACGAGGCCATACGTTTTCCTTAACCGGATTTTCCTCCATTTGGGTTTTAAAGGCAAGGTATTAATGAGGCTACACTTGTTACGTTATTGAAGTCCAGTTTTTCTTTTTGTACTATGACACTGTTGTTTCAATGAAGTTAACTCACTTTGATTATTTTTTTTTAAAATTTTAAAAAAGGAGTATCATTAGAGTAATGTTTTATTTCTTTTACGAGTTTTAGGTCGCAAGTTGACCAAATTTTACTTACTAGCGTGCTAAACTTTACCATTTTACCATTTTCGTAAATACATTGTGTAATTTTTTTTAGTCTTTTGGAGTGTTAGTTTAAATTTAGTTTTCACTTTCTAACTTTGATCTAGTACTAAATGAAAAATAGTAATTTGATTGATTCTAATATTGAAAATACTTTCAATCCAGACGACATTGGCCCCGATCTACCTTTTAATCCAAACGCGCTTGCTTTATCCTTTTTTATTGGACCAGTATGGATAGCATTGAGGATTGTTGTTTCCTTAAATCATGTCATTATGTGATCATTCCTTGTATTAACAAACTGAGGCTTAAAGTAACTTTCAGGCTGTAATTGGATAACCAGAGTTACAAGCACAATAATAATATTCAACATTGAGCGAACACTGCAACATCAATAGGCTATATAGCTCCCACCTGCACATTAATTCAATCTTCAAAACAAAGGCCCTACTTTGGTCCTGGTGGTGGTGGTGTATTGAAGCCAGAACTGAGGTCTCCGTGGCCGACCGGTGTCTCGGAGGAGGCAGAGGCAGGCTGCAGAATCAGAGTGATGGAGGAGGGAGACACCTCACTCTTACAAACAGGGCACTCCGGATGGTCGAGGCAGAAGATCTGCAACCAATTTTGGAAACAAATCCCACAGAACAAATGGCCACATGAATTCACCGCCGGCTCTCTTGCCATTTTCAAGCACAAATTGCAGTCGAAATAGGAAGCACATCTTGGTGGAGACAATGGCTCTGGAAAAGTCGCGTAAGAGGGTGAAGAGTATGATGGACCAAACTCGCTCTGTGGGCTGTTGATCTCATCAAGTTCCTCGCTTTCTTGTTCATCATCATCATGTTGATGATGGGTAGAGCTTGAATCATCACTTTCATGGGTAGAAGATGAACCACGAATTGATTGAAGAGCAGAGCTATGAGACTCAAAAGGGTCGTACTGAGGACCAGTGTTGCTGCCTTCCATGGGAGAAAAAGAAGCATCACAAGGACTGCAAAGCTTAACTTCAGAACAAGATTCAAAACCAGAAGCAGATTCATCTTCATCCATGAGATCATATTCTTCTGGTTCTGGGATTCTAAAGTGGAAAATCTCAGGGCGCTTCATAACTCGCATCCTTGGCTTGCCGCTTTGAAACCCACGCTTGATCATACTTTCCTTGTTGGAAGCCATAGACCCAGAATGCCAAGAAACCCAAAGAAATTGAACACCCAAAAAAGAAGCCTAATCAAGAACCAACCCAAAGCCAAATTCAAGAACAAATGACCACCCGCTAAACTAGGGGTTTCTTAAATAGTAGGGTTGTGATTTCCCAATTGACTTCCAAGTCTACAAGGAGTAGTTGTACGACTAGAAATCCTTGGTCTCCAAGTTTTCAATAGCTGTCACCTCTTTCACTTTTCCTTTGGCTAAATAACCCTTTTCATTTAAAAATAAAAAATAAAAATGACCCTTTTCATTTCTGGGGGAAAAAAAAAAGGTTTATAAGGATGGGATGCGCCCACGGTGAGACAAAGTAAAGTAACTTTTGGGCCTAGACGCGAATTACCCTATTTAACTCCCTTATCTATATTGACCACCAAAAAAAAAAAAAAAACTCCCTTATCTATTTCTTTTTCGTAAAAGAAGCCGAATGTCAGTGGCTTCTAGCTCTGTTGGTTGAGCTCTTCCACCTCTACTCACCTACGTGGTCAAAGATTTGAAACCCTGAGATACCAATGAATATTTGTGTAAATCCCCCTCCCCATCGCTTGTACTAGAAAAAAAAACCGAGCACATCAAAATTCTATAATTTATTTTCATCTTTTGCTTAAGCTAATTAAAGTAACCTCTCTATGTGGATTTGATTAAGAGATTGTGAGGTAGCAAATCATCTCAAAGAACATTAACTGTTACAAGTGAGCTTCTCAGTTTATTAATTTCACTTGCTCATACTAAGTGGAAGGTTTAGTTGTACTATATTTACTGATCATATGTGGCACAAGTCGGTTCTATCTATACGAGAAATGTGATTAATTAGCAATATCATCATTAAGTATATGTGGCATTACTCGATTTTGTCAATGAAGGTTATTTTTATTGAAATAAAAAACAATTAGAAACTCGAGGGGTTTCTAAATGGACACTGAGTATAAGCTTGAGGGGGTTTCTAAATTTACTCAATATATATATATATATATATAGGTTAAAAGAGTGGAATAATTCATTAGAAATCACAAGATACATGACTGTCTGCCAAACTGGTACATCTTCTAGCCAATAAAACTTTTTATTGGAAAATAATCCTTTTCGATTTTTATAAAAAAAAGAAAAGCCTTTTTAATTATTGAAAAAAAATATATTACTGTTGGGTTGGAAACAAAGCCCAAAGGTCGAATAAACGTGTATGGGTCCAATAAAATATTGCCTCCTCCTCCCTTTTCTAACCAAAAAAAAAAAACAGAGAAAGGAAAAGGCTCCCTTTTCTCTATCAGAAGCCCCCGGAAAAAAACCGTGCACAAAGATTTATATAATTTCACATCTTCTGCTTCAGCTAAAGTAAGCTCTCTCTCTCCCCAAAATTTTCTGATTATTTTTGTTAAAATATTTTGCTGTTTGTTATTTGAATAACCTTTTGTGCCTGTTAGCTGTTTGTGAGAAGTTCTCTGATTTAATTTTCTTTTTGGGTTTTTGCTTGATAAGCGTCAAGATTTACAATTCTAATGATCTGGATTTGCCGCGTTATGGAGAAAGTTTTAAAATTAAGGAAAAAGGGTTTAGCTTTCAGGTTTTTCTTATATAATTTGAACTTGCCAAAGTAAGAGTCTTTTGGAAAGTTCTCCATTAATCAGCCTGTGTGTCTCTTTTATCAATCAGTTTTTGTCAGATATATAATGAGGAGGAGGAAGGTAAGACCTTGAAGATAAAGTGGAAATAAATATTACACTTGATGGTGAACATTTGTGCAAGGGTATTAGGTTTCTATTGGCTCACATATTCAGCACCTTCTATAGAGAAAGCCTAGAATGAATTTGGAAATTTTTTCTCTAATTCTTAAATCTATCCGCCATGCTCAGGCTTGGTGATGAATTAAACTTGAAAGATTAAAGCCAAAAGGAAGGCAATTTAGTGTGTAATGTGTATCTAATTTTAAACATAAATAAATATATAGTTCATTGCTTGCTCTACTGCAATTTCTATTGTGTTTATGTAGTACTCTCACTCCTTGGATACTGTCTACATATACCAGAAAGAAAGTCATTTCTTTCATCTTGTTAATTTCTATTAAACTGTGGCTCATCCCATTCTCAGTTCTGTTAATTGTCAATTTTCCTTACAGTTAATTATGGACCGCTGGCGTGGAGTTCTAAAGGTCCCATTGAACCCTAATGCCAGTTCCTGCTACCGAGTTGCAGCATCTCTTTGCCTTTCACGTACTTCCAAAACACTAACCGTAAGTTCTGTATACTCAACCCTTTGAATAACTCAAAGACATGCAAACCTTTGTTTCCTGTCTTCAACTGAATTCTTCTGAAACATTCACACCTTAGTCAGGATATCTTCTTTCTCCCGAAAATGTTAGAAATATATGACCACTAATTTCCTATGAGGCATAGTGTATGAATTCTGAATGTATCTGCCTTTTCTTCAGGACAGATCTTAAACCCTTGCTATATTTTTTCTCCTATCTGACTTTGGAAGAATGAAGACTTGACTGTGTCTTAAAAATTTCCTGGGAGACAGGTTCCTTCAGCAAATGCTATCTTTTTCAATGGAGATCGAGTATCAGGCACTGGGAATCCAGTGATTGAGAGGCTATCTGACTTACAAAATATAGCTGAAATACTGGTCTCGAAGATTGGTGATTCAACCAATGCTTGGGTTATTGATGCTTCTGTTTTCAATGGGCCTTTTGCTGTGTATCATGACTTTGTCCCATCCGTTAATCAATGGGGAGAGCCGAAGTCATACTGCCCTGTTGGATCCCCAGCTTTTGGGTCGATTATTTCGCTCTTATCAAGTTGCCTTCAACAGGTACATATTGACCTGACGTTGTAGTGTTTCTGGCATCATTATTTTTCTTGGTTATTAAATCACTCAAGTGTTATTTGCTCAAGTCTGCTTTTTGTGTGGAAGAGAAGAGTGTTCAGGGGATGAAATATGCTCTGTGTAATGTCAATGATTGTCAAAATTTAAACTGGATAGACTAAGGCTATACTTAAAAGACTCATCCTTCTTTTGAACTCTGAATCACTTTAAGCAGTAGATGGTTCTCATCTCTAAACTTTTGACAGTTGCAGGTCAAGAATGACATTGCGAGAGGGAAAGAATTGCTTAAACCAGGAATATCTGCATCACATTTTGATCTACCTAAAACATTATTCTTTGGATTCAGCAAGGGTGGCACTGTACTTAACCAGCTAGTTACTGAGCTTGGCTTCTCAGATGTTAAACCCTCTGGAGATCCACCACTCTTGGAGGAAAAGAAAATTGGTGTCAAAGACGAGATTCATATCATACCTAGAACAAAACAAAGCCTGTTAAACAGCATCAGAGAAATTCATTACGTGGATGTTGGATTAAATTCCCCTGGTGCATATATCACTGACCATAGCATGATTGAGAAAATCCCCGAATGCCTAATACAAGGAGCTAGAGGAATCAGTTTTGTCCTTCATGGAACTCCCAGGCAATGGTGTGACAGCAGACGACCTTGGATACGAAAAGAAAAAGACAAATTGGTTCATCTGCTGGAGTCTGAATCTCAGAGAAGTGGAGGAAAATTACAGGTGTTTGAGAAATTTTATTTTGCTGATAGGGCCCCGGATTTGCAGATGCATTTTGAAGTAATTGATAAATTGGATTTGAGTTAACAGCTGTAAGTAGACCAAGATTATTGTAATTATATTGTAAAAAAAAGTAAATGGAAATATTCATTGGAAAACTTTTTATCATTCTTTTATACAAGTGATCTATTAAGATTGAAGGCCTCATATTCTGATTCATGTGAGAAAAATGTGGATTGCAATGCAACTTCTGTTATATATATATATATATATATATATATATATATTATAGCCTTTGAGTCCCAAATGTGTAGCTTGCTAAATTTATAGTTGCCAATAACAGCAGGGGAGTTTAGATATGCAATGAAAAAGATAGATTGGTTCTTCTGCTTCAATCTGAAGCTCAGAGGTGTGAGACATTTTTATTTTGCTGATGGGCACCTGATTTGCCGATGCATTTTGAACTAAATAAAAAAATTGGATGTGAGTTTAAATTTGTAAACTGTCATCGTTTAATTGTATTATGAAAAAGAAAGCAAATTGACTTTAAAAAATTGTATTATCATTGGCTTTTTGATTACATTGTGAAAACACCATGATTGGCAAAAGTGGCTTTTGCTTCTTTGTACTATAAACAAAATACACAATATATCTTGTACTATATTAAGCTTCCTGCAGCACCCAAAGCTCTCCGCATTGACTGAATCTTCAAAAGCAAAGCCCCCCCTTTGATCTTGGTGGAACATTTAACTCAAGGTCTCTGTTGCATACCGGTGTCGGCCTAATCGGAATAATCGATGAATCAAGCACCTTACTATGACAAACAGGGCACTCCATTTGAGAGGTGAAAAAGTGCAGCCATTTGTCCAAACAATCCCCACAGAACAAATGACCACATGGAGTCACCACTGGCTCTCTTGCCATCTTCAAGCACAGCTTGCAGTCAAAATAGAAAGCAAGTCTTGGTGGAGACGATGGCTCTGGACTTGCTGGGCAGAATGAAGCGCCAAGTTCATGGCTTTCTTGCTCATCATCATCGTCTTGATGATGGGTCGAGCTCAAATCGTCCGGAGGTGAGGTAGAACATGAACCACAAACTGAATGAACAGCAAAGCTATCAGACTCAAAAGGGTCGCCGCCATTGTTGCTACCTTCCATGGAAGAAGAGGCCTCACAAGGACTGCAAGGCTTAATTTCAGAACAAGACAGGGCAACGGGTTTATAACCATAGGCAGATAATTCTTCTTCATCCATGAGATCACATTCTTCTGGTTCTGCTTCTGGAATTCTGAAGCGGAAAACCTGAGGGGGCTTCATAACTCGCATCCTTGGCTTGCGGCTTTGAAACCCAACCTTGATCACTTGTGGCATACTTCCGTTCATGGAAGCCATAGATTCACGGCTGACCAAAACAGAGCAGACCCAGAACGCAAGTAGTGGACACTGAGATGAGAATAGAGTTGTAGGGTTTCTATTTCCTACAGACATCAGGTATATATAGGTATTCGGGTTTGCTTTCGAGA